CCACGACTTCATTTCATATATAATATATTTAAGTTTATAATTAGATATATTTTTGTTCGTGTTCGCGACATAAGGAAGCAAGCAGCATCGATTCTCAAAATATCGTTCTGTGTTTTGGTTTTTATTTTATAAACTTCCAAGCTCTAGTGATCAGTGATATTTCAGTATAATTTTGTATAAACATATCTTAAATTAAGAGCTTTATTATAAGATAATTATCAAATGTCCACAAAACACAATCAAACCAAGGGAAATTCGGTGATTTTATAAAGCATATTAGTGTATATTTAGTGCATTTTGTGTTAATGCTTAATATTTCCATTATTTTAAGTTATTATTCATATTTTGATTTTTTTTGATATTTTGATTTAGTTTTTGTTCTTAATGTGACATATTTCTCCTGAAATTTCAAGTAATATGCATATTTCTCTCCTCAAACCGAAAAGTGTACTTCAGAAATGTAAATGCGAATGCTATTCATAACAAATATTTTCCATTCGTTGCACTAGAATATGTCTGAGCTTGTTTTAGATGATATAATGAGACTTGTTCCCGGAAACGATTTGCCCAATCATGAAGGATGAGATAATTTATATTTGATAAAGAATTTGTAGCATTAGAATTGATACTTGAACACTGACACAGACAAAATCACTATATTTTACTTCAAAAATTATCACTGGAATACCAAATGGAGACAAAAATGCGAAATTTATTGTTAAAATTAAAAGTTTTTTAATATTATTCATGAATAAATAAACTTGTTAATTGTTAGAGTGCATTTCATTAGTTCTGGCGCATATTTTATAAATTTTAGAGCATATTTGCATGCATATATCGCCCTTTGATACAGAATTAACTTCCGAGCCTAACTGACCACATTTGTAGATGGTACAGAAAAGTGGGCGTTAAACACAAACGGTAGGGAAGCTATATGACAATAAAATATTTACAGAAACTAAAAACGGAAGGGGCTGTAAGACTGGTAAGCCTGAAATATATGAACACTGGAATTCGGATTCATTGATTGGTTGATTAAGATGCTGGGTGCGTCAATTGCTAAGTTGATTAGTCCCGTAAGTGCAGTGAATGTATTTTATTATGAGTAGCGGTGGCGGTGATCTTCTCCCGCTGGATGGCGATATCCGTCGCAGGTCTACCCGAAATCCCTAGCGGGGTTTTCCCCAACCAGGTATCTCTCACCAGCGGGGCACCGCCCCCGCCAGGACCAGCTCTAAACTCCCGACTGGACTCCCGGCGTATCAGGTAGAGTTGTGCATTAGACTGTAAGTCTGTGTAAGTAAGGGATGAGAATAGGACAAGAAAGAAAAAGGAAAGATCGCGTGCGGTCCGTGAACGGTTTGGTAGTGTAATGCTCTGGCATTCGCCTGGAGTTGATGGGAGAAACCGCGGTAAACTGCCGATCAGAGCATCCTGCCACTAGAATTCTCCACCAGACAGCAGCTGAATCCGCCCGCGCTACGCAACTAGTGTCGAAAATCCTTCCCCCGCAGGGACTCCCGGTCAGAGGCGCTGCAATGTGCTGCCCTGAGCCAGCTCAGCGGGTGGGGAACGCAGGCCGACTCACCTCCGGCGCCGGGCAGCGCGACGTGGGCGCGCGCGGCGGGCTGCAGGCCGCGGAAGGCCGGGTGCAGCAGGAGCTGCTGCTGCGGCTGCTGCGGGGGCTGCGCCGGCTGCGGCCCGGCGTACAGGAAGCCCGCGGCGGCGGCGGCGGCCGCGGCGGC